GCTAAGGCACTCCAGCATATGATTCCTGAAGAGAGAAAAAAGTAAAAAATAAACATATAATTAAAATGTTCCAAACGGAATGGAGTAATAGTGTCCGAAGTAAAGGATACAATTCGAGCAGCAATTAGTATTAGTGGAAAAAGAAAAAGAGGGAGCTAGCAGAATGGCTGATTTTATATTTTTCAATGTTTTGTATTTTAAATTTTTTTCCAGAATACCCTAAATATGTATACATATTTTTTTCCTTTTTTTTTCCTTTACTTTTTTTACTTAATAAAAAGAAAAGTTTGTAAAAATAATTTAAACAATTCAATAGATATTTGAATTACATCCTTTTCAACAAGAGCCACTATATTAGAGATGATACAGGCAGTCCACGACTTACGACACAACTGAGCCCAACATTTATCTTGTTAAGTGAGTTGTCCCCCCACCCCCATAATTATACAACTTTTCTCACCACGTGTCATGCCCCTGTCAGAGTCTGAATCCAAGGAGGAAGACAAACAGCTGACAGGGAGTGGGAGTGTGACTCCATTGGCTGTGGAGGAAACTGGGAAAGGGCAAAATCCGGCTGGGCAGAGCAGGGGAGAGGTAGAACAAGCGAGTGAGAGTTCAGAGGAAGACCCAGGCCAACTCCCTCTTCATCCTAAGGCATGCAGGGAGGAATGGATAAGAGAGCAATGTCGGTTGCCTGGCTTACGGGGAGGAAAGGGCCCCGATTCCCTTCATTAGCTACAGCTGGGAAGAGAGTTTAAAAGAGATGCATGCTGAGTGCAGCATCTGCTGGGAACAAACTTGAGTTTATCTTGTGTGTACTTTGGTTATCTGTATTCCTGGCATCATCCAGCCATTCCTTCACGTCTGGAATTCCTTCTCTTTCCCTGCCAGACTAATTACCACATCTTGTCTTGTTTAGGTTTATAGGTTCAGTTTTTGCTGACCACATTTTGGACCTGACTCTCTGCAGCCAAAGGCTGTTCCTGGGAGTTTTTCTCCAGCCAGAAGGTAACCAGGATATTGAGGGTAAAGTTGGAGCTAATAAAGGGACTCCTACTGATTATTCGACTGTGTTGTCTTTGTGCCACGCCCCAGGTGATCACACCACATTTGTTAGGTGAATCACTGCAGTTCTTAAATTACGAACCCGGTTGTTAAGTGAATTTGGCTTCTTCATTGACTTTGGTTGTCGGAAGGGGTTGCAAGTGCCTGCGATGCTCAGGTGAGGCCCTTCATTCTTGCAACCCTGACGCTCATGAGACCTTGAGCCCTTAGGAGGCTCGTATGAGTATGGCCGTCAGCGCCTGTGACGCTCATGTGAAGGTGAGTGGTTGCGATGCTCATGTGAGTGAGACTGCAAGCCCCTGTGATGCTTGCACATGTGGCTGTGTGCATGCCCGCCTGCGTGCAAACCTAAAATTTCAGGTTATCTGTTCTTCAACCAAATCACAACAAAAGCTAAGTTGAGAAAGGATGCTATGAAGCTTCTGCCAACTTTTGCATGTATTTAATTTCATATAGGGAAGTGGGGGAGGCAGAAATGTCCTTCTAGCTAGAAGGTGCTTTCAAGCACTTATGGCAATAGACTTTCCACAATTAACTGAGCCCAGAGCAAAACAGGTCCTTACCCAGAGCGGCCACATTCCTAGAATTCTCCAGCATGACTTCCGTATGCAAGGCTCTCTGGCTGGGATCCAGCAGCTCCCACTCCTCCTCTGTGAAATACACAGCCACCTCCTCAAAGGTTACCAAACCCTGAAAGCCAAAGGAAACATTCCTTAGCAGCCACCCCAGATTTCCAATATCTTAAAAGTTAAGTTTTGCAATGGGGAAAATACTCCCTCTTTTCTGATCGGATCTATTACCAAGTTTTATGGTCGCCTCTCCCAAGGTTTCAAATCTCACATCTTCTTATTATTAAACCAGATTACAATTTCAATCTAATGCGATTCTTCTTGCCTTTGTTTAACCACTTTGTTTTGACCGGTTCTGAATACTCCTACTAATCTATTAATAAAAGTGAATAAACAAAGAACAGATCCCTCTGTTTGCACATCCCTACGTTAGCAGGGCTTTCATTGTGATGAAACGGGCTGAGACAGGCTGGATTTCCAGGAGGGAGCGAGAACATTCCAGAGGAATGAGAGAAAAACTCAGTCCAGATACCTTATGTGAGAGAAAGAGGGTGAAGGCAACCCCCTAGATGCAGATAACAGAGGGCTTAGAATCAGAATAGAGCTGGAAGAGGTCTTGGAGGTCTTCTAGTCTGACCCCCTGCTCAAGCAGGAGATCCTATACCATTTTACACAAGTGGCTGCCCAGTCTCTTCTTAAAAACTTCCACAGCTTCTGTTCCACTGGTTAATTGTCCTCACCGTTAGAAAGTTTCTCCTTAATTCCAGGTTGCTTCTCTCTTTGATTAGCTTCCATCCGTTGCTTCTTGTTCTGTCCTCAGGTGCTTTGGAAAATAAGTTGACCTCCTTCCTCTTTGTAGCAGCCCCTCAAATACTGGAATGCTGTTATTATGCCACACACACACACACACCAGTCCTTCTTTTCTGTAGACTAGCCAAACCCAAATCCTGCAACCCGTTTGTCATATGTTTTAGTCTCCAGGCCTTTCATCACCGTAGTTGCTCTTCTTTGCACTTTTCCCAAAGTGTCAGCGACTCTTTTGTAATGTGGTGACCAAAACTGAATGCAGCATTCCTGGTGTTGCATAACTAAGGCTTTACAAAGTGGTACTAATAACTTCACCTGATTTTGATTCTATGCCTCTTGTTTGCACAACCCAGGATTGTATTAGCATTTTTGGCTGCTGCCACACACACACAACTGGCTCATGTTTCAGTGACGGTCCACTAGGACTCCACGGTCCCTCTCCCAGTTACTGTTTTTGAGCCAGCTTTGTTCCTTTGGCAAGACTTTACAGGTAAGGAAGCACAATAAGAATCATCCAATGTCATTCTTTGTTTTGGCACCTGCCATTCATTTTAAATACAGGACCGTAATCTACTGCAGGTCCAAACAATGTAAATACTCAACTGATTCCATTTCTGAATTGGATGGATGGAAACTGATCAAGGAGAGAAGCAACCTAGAACTAAGGAGAAACTCCCTAACAGCGAGAACAATTAATCAGTGGGACAACGTGCCTCCAAAAGTTGTGGATGCTCCAACACTGGAAGTTTTTCGGAAGAGATTGGACAACCACTTGTCTGAAATGGTGTAGAGTTTCATGACTGAGCAGGGGGATGGACTAGAAGACCTTAAAGATCCCTTCCAATTCTGTCCTCGTATATTGTATTTGATTTCTTGATATCTTGCGCTTAAATGACCATCCTGAAAGCAAGATCAGCCCAATCAATCATGATGAAAACAGACTCCCAAATGTGTCCTGGTTCTCTAATGAAACTATCTTTCACCTGAGCAGTTGCTGATCTACTGTAAAGAGGATTTTGATCTCCTTCAGAGATGCTTCCCAATAGCTGATCCATAGACGAATGAGAGAGACCTTCTCTGACTTCAGCAGTTACCAAGAGCGCCTTTACCAAAGGCTCCTGCATCTGAAATAATAGCCAGAATCACAGAAAAACAAAAGTTAAAATCAGGGGTGGGATTCAAAAATCCCAGCAACCGGTTCGCTGCCTGGTTGCTAGGTGGTCGCAGCCATGGTAGGCCTACTTGAACTTCCTGTTTCTGGCTTCCAGTGGGCCTCCAGAGCCTGGAGGACGCCGTTTTCACCCTCCCAAAGGTCTGGAGGCTTCCCCCAGGCCTCTGGGAGGGTGAAAACAGCCTCCCCCAGGCTCTGGAGGCCCACCGGAAGCCGGAAACAGGCCTGTTTTGTGACTTCCAGTACTTCCAGCAGGGGCATTTTTTGCCCTCCCAAGGGGTCTGGAGGCCTCCTCCAGGCCTCTGGGAGTGCAAAAACAGCCGTCCCCAGGCTCTGGAGGCCCACCGGAAGCTGGAAACAGGCCTGTTTTGTGACTTCCAGTACTTTCAGCAGGGCCGTTTTTTGCCCTCCCAAGGCATCCGGAGGTTTCCCCCGGGCCTCTGGGAGGGCAAAAACAGCCATCCCCAGGCTCTGGTGGCCCATTGGAAACTGGAACTAGGTCCATTTTGTGACTTCCGGTAGGGCTGTTTTTTGCCCTCCAAGGGTCCGGAGGCTTCCCCCGGGCCTCTGGAAGAGCGAAAACGGCCATCCCCAGGCTCTGGAGGCCCTCTGGAAGCTGGAAACAAGCCTGTTTCCGGACTTCTGGAAGGCCTGTTTTCCCCCCTCCCAGAGCCTCCGAGTGGACCCTGCACTTCCCTCCATCGAAAATGGGCCATGTGGAGACTCATGGGAGGGACGGGGTGGGCGGGGGTCAGTCGGTCGATTGAAATACTGGTTCGGCAAACCAGATGTAATTTTAACTTCTGGTTTGCCTGAAACTGTCTGAACCAATAGAATCCCACCCCTGATTAATAAATGAATGAATATGGGAACGAGGGGATTCTTCACTGGGCCATCTTATATCCCACAGTAGAGATGCAAATACAGGTACTTTTCGACTTACCACCACAACTTGAGCCCAATTTTATGTTGCTAAACGTGAGACATTTATTAACTGAATTTTGCCCCACCGTGCGACCTTTCTGTTCAAATTTGTTAAATGAATCGCTATAGTTATTAAATTAACACAAGGTTGTTAAGTGAATCTGGTTTTCCCATTGACTTGGTGTCAGGTTTCCAAGTGATGAAATCCATTTAAAGAGAAAAAAACAGAGTCCAATTTCTTTTATTTAGGAAAGCATCAAATTGGCAAAATCCGTGGTAATTCCGGATCTGACCCAACCCGGAATTACCCCACAATATCAGAAGTTAGAAACAACCCCCAAAAGTCATTCTCCAATAGAAGTAATTCAACATTGCTTGGTGTCATCAATCTCCACCTCAAGAGGCCCAAGCACGGACAGCTAGTTTTCTCACGGGAAGAAACTACCTAGCCAAATCAACTCTATTGCCACTCCTCCCCAATTAGGAATGTGGCAAGCCCGAAACCCTTCCCGCATGACTGCCACAGGGAAAGTAAGAAAAAGAATACATACTAAGCCTAAGTAAAATGGCTACACATCTGTCAATTTCGGGCTTGACACTTGGCTTGTCAGAAATTTGCAAAATATGGTCAAGTGATCCCGGGACAACTGCAACTGTCACAAAGGTGACCCAGTTGTCAAAGCATTTGAATGTAAACCACATGACCATGGGGATGCTGCAATGGCCATAAGTGTGAAAAATGGTCATAAGTCAGCTTTTTTTCAATGCCATTGTAACTTCGAACAGACGCTAAATAGCAGTAGCACTTAGACTTATATACCACGGGGCTTCACAGCCCTCTCTAAGCAGTTCATGGAGTCAGCCTCTTGCCCAGTGGTGGGATTCAAATTTTTTTACTACCTGTTCTGAGGGCGTGGCTTGGTGAGTGTGTCATGGCTTGTTGGGCGTGGCTTGCTGGGAGTGGCAGGGGAAGGATACTGCAAAATCCCCATTCCCTCCCCACCCCACTAACCTGCTTTCCAGCTCCATTCTCCTTTCCAGGGCAACAAAAGAAGACCCAGCCGATCAGCTGGGACTCGGGAGTCAGAGAGTAGATGGGGGCGGGGCCAGTCAGAGGTAGTATTTGCCAGTTGTCCAAACTACTCAAATTTTTTGCTCTGGTTCTCCAGAACTATTGAGAACCTGCTGAATACCACCTCTAATCTTGCCCCCCACAATCTGGGTCCTCATTTGACCGACCTCGGAAGGGCAAGAAGGCTGAGTCAGCCTTGAGCCTGGTGAGAATCAAACTAATGGCAGTCGGCAGAATTAGCCTGCAATGCTGCATTCTAACCACTGCGCCACCACGGCTCTTAGTTCTACACTGCTCAGCCCCAAACCGTGTAGCCCGTCCAAAAGGATACCATGGTTGACGGTATCGAAAGCCACCGAGAGGCCTTCAGAGGGAATGGATGCACCACTCCCAGGTTGCTCTTGCCAGAGATCATCCATAAGCACAACGAATGTCGTTTCCATCCCCATAACCTGCAGGTCAGAATTGAACTCCTGGCAGTGAGCAGTAAGTTAGCCCTGCAGTACTTTAACCACTGCATGACCATGGCTCTGAACCAGAGGTGGGATTCAGCCAGTTCTGGAGAACCGGTAGTGGAAATTTTGAGTAGTTTGGAGAACCAGCAAATGCCATCTCTGACTGGCCCCGCCCCCATTTATTCTCCACCTCCCAAGTCCCAGCTGATTGGCTGGATCTTCTTTTGTTGCCCTGCGCAGGAGAACGGAACTGGAAAGCAGGTTAGTGAGGTGGGGAGGGAATGGGATTTTGCAATAACTTCCTCCAGGAGTGGGGAGGGAATGGGGATTTTACAGTATCCTTCCCCTGCCACGCCCACCAAGCCACACCCACCAAGCCACACCATGCCCACAGAACCTGTAGTAAAAAAAACCCTGAATACCACCACTGCTCTGAACCGTTGTAAGTCGAGGACTACCTGGAACGTCTTTCCTCCAGAAGCATTGTGAATACAGATACAGATAATCAGAGTTGGAAGGGACCTTGCAGGTCATCTAGTCCAATCCCCCGCCCAAGCGGGAGACCCTACACCATTTCTGACAAATGGCAGTCCAATCTCTTCTTGAAAGTCTCAACGGATGGCGCTCCCACACTGGAAGTTTTTAAGAAGAGACTGGAGAACCATTTGTCTGAAGTGGTACAGGGTTTCCAGAGCTGTGGGACAGCAAGTTCCCTGAGCAGGGGGGTCGGACTAGAAGACCTCCAAGGTCCCTTCCAACTCTTCGTTATTCTGTTACCTGGCCGTTTCCCACGGTTTTTCCTGCTGTCTTCCCCAAGTCTTTCCCACCTAGCGTTACACAAACCCGTGGCCAGCCCTGGCTTCTCTTCCCAGGTCCCAGCACAGAAGGACCCCTTCCTACAACTTCCCGCGCCCGGAGTCGACCCCCCGAGATGCGGGCAAGAGAGGCTGGGAGGCTAGGCAAAGCTCCCTCTTACCTCCCGCTTACGAAGCTCCTCGGATCGCGGCAGGCACGGAAAGAGATCCAGCGGAGATCCCCAAGGCGAAGAAAGCGAGGAGTTGAACCAGGCAGCCCGCGGTGGACTTCTCCCACCGACTTTTGTGTGCGTACGTCGGGTAAATCACCCACTCACCACCACCTTCCCAGCTCCCCCAAAATGCCTCTTACTTGCGGGGGCGCTCTAGGAAAGCGCAGCCCGCCGCTCGCTCCCCTTGCTTCGCTCCCGCCTCCTCCTCCGCGAGCCTCGGAGCGCGGGCGAGGGAGGCGCTTCTTCCTAGAGAGGCCAAGCCTCCCTCCGCTTAAAACCCGATGACCCCTTTTGATTTGAACGCCTCTTTTGCGGCCGGAGGGGGCGGCAGGTCGTCCTCGACTTCCGACCATAATGGAGCCCCACCACGTTTCTGGGGCTTGAGTGAGAGAGACGTTAAGGGAGCTGCTTTGCCCCGTTTTACGACCTTTCTGAATCTCTGCGGTTGTTAAAGTAGTGATACGGTTGCTAAGTGAATCTGGCTTCCCCATTTGACTTTGCTTGTCACAAGGTCACAAAAGGGTTCATGGAATAGCAATAGCAATAGTAAAAGGGAAAGAATAGAGTAGAAATAGAATACAATACAGAATAGAATAGCTTTAACAGATAACAGATAATCAGAGTTGGAAGGGACCTTGTAGGTCATCTAGTCCAACCCCCTGCCCAAGCAGGAGACCCTACATAATTTCTGACAAATGGGAGTCGAATAGAATAGAATAGAATAGAATAACAGAGTTGGAAGGGACCTTGGAGGTCTTCTAGTCCAACCCCCTGGTATAACATATTTAATAATACATGTATTGACAGCGGCCAGAATGGTTTATGCACAATATTGGAAACATGAAAGTATACCATCGAAAAGAGAGATAATAAGGAAAATAATGGCTTGTGCAGAATCTGATATATTAACTTTAATACTGAAAGATAAGGGGGAAATCACTGGAATAAGTTTTACCTGTGGTTGCAGAAAAGAGGGGAAGGTCAGAACAAAAACAGCTAGGAGGATTAGAATCAAAATGTAAATATTGTACCAATAATAGGAATGTTTATGGTTTGGTTATACTTTTGTATGTAAGGCAAAGTAATGCCAAAATGGTTGCACTGTGCTTGATATTTATAGTTGTAAACAATAAAAATATATTTTAAAAAATAGAATAGGAATAAGCATAGGTATAGTAAAGGGGAAAGGGAAAGAATACAATATAGGTAATAAGGAATAGGAAAGAATAGAATAGACCAATTATATGGTTTTGCATCCAAAAACCTCTCACCTCATATGATTATGTATAGATTAATCATCACTAGGATCTTTTTCTCCTATGTTAGTAGAACAAGACTTCTCTTTCTTTGCTTTCTACATTAAAGACTTAAGTTTTATTTAAGTTTTAAACCAAGTCAGGAATATGCACTGCTCAAAAAAATAAAGGGAACACAAAAACAAGACATCCTAGATCTGAATGAATGAAACATACCTTTTTCATTACATAGTTGAATGTGCTGACAACAAAATCACACAAAAATTATCAATGGAAATCAAATTTAGCAACCCATGGAGGTCTGGATTTGGAGTTACGCTCAAAATTAAAGTGGAAAAAAATGCTACAGGCTGATCCAACTTTGATGTAATGTCCTTAAAACAAGTCAAAATGAGGCTCAGTAGTGTGTGTGGCCTCCATGTGCCTATATGACCTCCCTACAACGCCTGGGCATGTTCCTGATGAAGTGGCGGATGGTCTCCTGAGGGATCTCCTCCCACACCTGGACTAAAGCATCCCCCAACTCCTGGACAATCTGTGGTGCAATGTGGCGTTGGTGGATGGAGCGAGACATGATGTCCCAGATGTGGTCAATTGGATTCAGGTCTGGGGAACGGGCGGGCCAGTCCATAGCATCAATGCCTTCGTCTTGCAGGAACTGCTGACACACTCCAGCCACATGAGGTCTAGCATTGTTGTGCATTAGTAGGAACCCAGGGCCAATCACACCAGCATATGGTCTCACAAGGGGTCTGAGGATCTCATCTCGGTATCTAATGGCAGTCAGGCTACCTCTGGAGAGCACATGGAGGGCTGTGCGGCCCCCTAAAGAAATGCCACCCCACACCATTACTGACCCACTGCCAAACCGGCCATGCTGGAGGATGTTGCAGGCAGTAGAACGTTCTCCATGGCGTCTCCAGACCCCGTCTGTCACGTCTGTCGCATGTGCTCAGTGTGAACCTGCTTTCATCTGTGAAGAGCACAGGGCACCAGTGGCGAATGTGCCAATCTTGGTGTTCTCTGGCAAATGCCAAACGTCCTGCACGGTGTTGGGCTGTAAGCACAACCCCCACCTGTGGACATCAGGCCCTCATACCACGCTCATGGAGTCTGTTTCTGACCATTTGAGCAGCCATGTGCACATTTGTGGGCCGCTGGAGGTCATTTTGCAGGGCTCTGGCAGTGCTTCTCCTGTCCCTTCTTGCACAAAGGCAGAGGTAGCAGTCCTGATGCTGGGTTGTTGCCCTCCTACGGCCTCCTCCATGTCTCCTGATGTACTGGTCTGTCTCCTGGTAGCACCTCCATGCTCTGGACACTACGCTGACAGACACAGCAAACCTTCTTGCCACAGCTCGCATTGATGTGCCATCCTGGATGAGCTGCACTACCTGAGCCACTTGTGTGGGTTGTAGACTCCATCTCATGCTACCACTAGAGTGAAAGCACTGCTAGCATTCAAAAGTGACCAAACCATCAGCCAGAAAGCATAGGAACTGAGAAGTGGTCTGTGGTCACCACCTGCAGAACCACTCCTTTATTGGAGATGTCTTGCTAACCGCCTCTGCTTTCCACCTGTTGTTTATTCCATTTGCACAACAGCATGTGAAATTGATTGTCAATCAGTGTTGCTACCAAAGTGGACAGTTTGATTTCACAGAAGTGTGATTGACTTGGAGTTACATTGTGTTGTTTAAGTGTTCCCTTTATTTTTTTGAGCAGTGTATAAAGCTTCAAATGCCCACATCAGTATGAAAGTCGGAAACAGGTGGTGAAAGTCATCTATGACAGTGGCC